AAAACTTTTCTTTATAGATAGGTGTTTTTTAGAAAGAATGTCTTCACATGGAAGTTTTTAAAACTATATATAAATAGACAGATTCATATGTAAACTACAAATGTAAACAGTTTGTGTACTTACTGTAAAAATTAATCGTTAAATACCTACCATGATTATAATGGGCAGTACCAAGAGAGAGAGAGAGAGAGACTTAATTATAGATTTTTTCAACTTTTAGTTTAGGTGGTTCTATTTTTAACGTTAATGTTTATAAATAAAAAGTACTGCAGACTACTCATATATAATAATCACATGGCTTAAGTGTGATACTCATTCTAGCGACCACGCTGAAAACCTGCCGATATTTTTGCTGACATTATGATGACAATTTTTAATGTATATTTTAATAGAAAACATGTTTCTGGAATCTTGTCTCTTACACAACCGTTTACTATTTTTACGAAACAAAATGTTACCCTGTGCCATACTACAACAACTACTACATACTACTACTTGTAGCCGATAAATCGACATTTAACACATGGTTTATTGAATACGTGGTATATATTGCTGATAGAGAGAGAGATTGAGATTGAAACTACTTTATTTCAATGTCCATATAAGATTATATAAGGTTAAATACATAAAATGAATAAATAAGATTAATAATGATAGATATATGAATAAATATATATAAATAGATAAAATAGATGATAAATATACTATATATATATATATATAAGGTCTTTATTGGTGGCGCCCACCGCGAGAAAGACTCCGTCACCGATGGACTGCGAGAGTTCTTTCCCACAGAGTGGGCAGGTCGAGGTGTTGACTGGCATTACCCAACTCAAGACCAAGATGGTACTTGTAGATGGTAGCCTTCGCCACACTTGTTAGCTTCACTGCCTCGGGATGGAGGCCGACGCCGAAGAGCTCGGGATGAATAGAGAATATATGCAAATAAATATTATGCAAATAGAGAGCTATATAAATAAAGAATACATGATGGAAAGGAGAGACCCAACTTTCACTAGGGATAAGGAAAACATATATAAATAACCTGAGGAAAAATTGCGAAAGTTGAGAAAGGGGTTGAAGGATTGGTTATTTTATACAGCGGACACATCGACTTTTTAAACTATTTTTTTCCTTGAGACGATTTACCTCGGGCATTTTGTTCCCGATGGAATATAACTTCGATTTACTTTCTATCTTAAATATCCTTAATAATCATTCGTTTAAACTTCTAACATCAAATTATTTCTGTAAACCTAGTTATTTATATTATAAATGTTTTCCATATGTCATTTTTATGATAAATGGCATGTGTCATAGGGTGTCGCTTGTAAAAACAGTAAAAAGTAATAGAAAAATAAAAAAAAAAGTTTACAATATTATACTCTGATTAAAAAAAGATCTATTGAAAGAAAGAGAATCTTTTGGATTTCTGAAAATGTTGATTACAAAACTCTTTCATTTCTGAGATTTAAACAATTGTGAATTAATCTAGATTAAGAGGTAAATTTCCAAAAGAATATACAACATCTGGGGGGGGGGAGCCTCCCTCGCTGAATAATCCATATTACTATATATATATATCTTCTTGAATAAAGTTGATAAAGATGTTTAAATTGTCAATTGCCTACAGGAAAAATCCATTCTTCACGAAACCAAGATTGTAAATATTTTGAAGAGAAAAGGCAAGGGGAAGAGAAAGCTTATATGGGATGAGTATGTAGCCAAAACTTTCCCCGTAGACATACAATCTTCGAGTTTTGGCCTTACATACAATAGCCATTTCAACTCGACCATGTTGGATGTTTTAATAAAACCAAGAGGATGCACACGTCTTGACCAATAAGGGAAAGGTAGTGTGAATGGAATTCGGTCGAGGTTACACTCCATACATGTTCAGAACATGTCCACATTCAGGTATTGAGCGTGAAGTGCCACGTAACGTACACCCCCGCGGTTACAAAAGATGTCAAACATTAAAAAACTATCCATCAGGAAAGTAAACAACTTTTTTATACCGTGTTTGTGCATCTTAATGGCATGGCTTTGTGCCAGAGTATGGTTGAATTAGAGGTCTAGCGGGGGTTGGTTTGGGCGGTGACGGATCTTTTTACGGTCATACTTCCTTAACGAACCTAACCTAACGTGACCTAAATACAAATTTTCATTTAGAATACCATTATTTGAGATAACTTTAATGGTAGATGTCTATTTTAGACTTTGCTGTATATGGACGAATAGGATTTCTTCTTAGGATTCCTACAAGCACCAACCACAGGAACAAGAGGAAGGCAAAAAACAAACAGAATTGATAACATCTCTTAAGATATGGATAAAATAATATTGTAACAAAGTATTTATTATTTTATTATTTTTATTAACAGAGTGGTTATTTTTATCGTTATACTTTGCTACCCTAAATTTCCCTCGTGGCTTATCTTTTGTTTACCATTCATAGTTAGTCCTTGCTTGAAATAAATTGTTGTCTCATCCTGAAGTTTTTGTCTTCCCTAATTTTCCACGTGGCAATATCTGAAATAATTAAAGACTAGAGATATCATTAAAGACCAACAAATTCAGCATTTAGTGATAAACATTTGAACTTTCACAATGGTCTCAAAAAGACTGTTGACAATGACGGTTGCCAATGGGAGCAAAAAAATCTATCATTTCATTGTCACTGTATAATTATTATAAATACTCTGTTGTTAGTTTATCTACTGAAATATTTGACTATATCACTACCCCTCCCACTATATGATAGAATGCCAATATTTAGGTGAAGAAAGAGAAAAAAACTCTTTAAAACACCTTCTGGAAACTTAGCAACCCACTGAAGACGCTGAGAACTATTTCAGAAAAGAAAAATATAGCAATAGAACTCAATAATTTCTACAGATCAATTGTAAATAGATTCATACACAAAAGAGGTAGTGAGGAAAGTTTTAGAACAGATGTGTAAATAAATCCATTTTCACACAAAGACTCGCGTGCACAAGGGGGAAGGGAGAGGAATTGCTGTATTATTTTGTTGTTGTATGGCGAATCCATACAGGGAAATGGGCCCTAATAAAAGCCTTTTTGTTGTTGTTGTTGTTGACTATACACTACCCCTTACGTATTACGTTCTATATAGATTTGGTTAATAAATTATTTTAAAAACTTAAACTTTTAAAAGACTTGTCTTCTCTCTGCCGTGACACTATGTTCTTTCACAATGCACACACTCAACTCTGTATAAAATTTTTACTAATTAAACTACACATAGTACAGGCCATGATGTCTATTTAGAGACTAATTTTATTGTAAATCATCATATGTCTACACATGTAGAAAGCTGCTCTACGTTTGTCCATATAAATGTGATATAACCCTGTTTGGTTACTCGCACTTACTGGTGAGATTGGACCTTTGCAGAAATCTGACCCATTTGAATATATTTCTTCCGAGAAAAGTGACCATTGCGGTATTCGATACCGAGTCGTAGCTGTCGAGAATAGACAGCTTATACCACTTTTTCATCAATCTACACACCTATGAATTCAAATTGTTGAATAATATTTCAACTTGTCATTTAACCAAATAAATAAATTAAGAAAAACGCATCTCCCGATCAATTTTTATTCTGATATATAGCGCAAGCCATCATCAATTTTTAGTTTCACAATCAGGAAATGTTTTTTTTCTTAATTTATCCACTTGATCAAAGTACAATTTCACGTTGTACTATTTTCACTTCAAATTAAATTGATGGTTAACACTAAAGAGGATATACAGTTAAACCTGACTATAGCGCCCCCTCTTGGGACTCATCAAAATAGGGTGCTATAGAGAGGAGTTGCTATAGACAGGTTACTTTTAATGTAAATCGCATCGTACTACGTATTTAAAATCGGGCGCTATAGAGAAGGAGGCGCTATTTAGAGGGGGGCCTATAGACAGGTTTAACTGTATAAACAATAAAATAAAATGAATATTTAAGTTTATTTCTCTATTCCAACTATAGAGGGAGAAATCGATATGAAATATTTAAAAAACGAAAAAAAAAAACTTGTAATTCAATTTGTAATAAATACGTTCTCATTTGAAATCCATTAACTTCAATCCATCATTTGAACTTGTTTTTAATGAGCAATTCTTTTCTGGTCGAATGGAGTTTTTTTTTAGAAAGTGGGCGACAAATGGACTTTTTACATTTCACTTTCACATGTGTATGGGACCTAATTGAGTTATTTTACATGTACTCCAAACTTATCACATGGCATCCTGACCTAACGTATTTTACATGTACTCCAAACCTATCACATGGCATCCTGATCTAACGTATTTTACATGTACTCCAAACCTATCACATGGCATCCTGACCTAACGTATTTTACATGTACTCCAAACCTATCACATGGCATCCTGACCTAACGTATTTTACATGATATCTTCATGATGGTTGTCAAGCTTTTTACAAGCTTGATGCCTTAATATGATTGAGTGGAGATAAGAAAGAAGAAGAATACATGATATCCAGACACAATGTGTATTACTGATTTTCTGATTAACATGCGATAGTAATTTTCATCACATTATATCATCATCCTACATAAACACTATCTCACACGACATGTACACTCATGAACAAAACTTAAGGAAGTTTTATATTCTTATGTCGCCGGTTGTTTGTTTTGTTGAAGGAGACAGAGATAATTTTGTTCACTCTTGATTATCTCGTGTATCTTCAATAAAGGTCACTGTGTACCAAATATCTTTCAGAGTTTTTGTCTAAATCCCGATATACATGCTAAATGTACAACTTCCTTAAGTTTTGTCCATGTATGTTTTTGTACATATTTGTTTCTATAACATAAAAATAAGAAATGGAAGAATTTGAGCACGAATATTTATTTTTAAATATAAAACAAACTTCTACTATCCTTACTGCGATGAAAATGTATTGGGATACCATTTCTAAGATTCCATCGTTCATTGCAGCATATATAAGCAGAATCGTGTCCAATAGTGCCTAGTGGACATGGCATCTGCCCGGTAAGCGGAACAGTGTGGGTTCGATTCCCATCCTGGACACTTTTATTTTTCCGTTTATCGTTACTCTTCACAATTCACCCTTTCATGCCTAATCCCAAAGGTTAGAAATAATCGCTATTTCTCCTTGGAATAAATTTTGATTTTTCGTTGAAAAGAAACACATGCGGGATAGTTTTCAAATGTCGTTTTACAATACGGTATTAGAGCTCTAAAAAGCGGTCTGGTAGATTAAATTAGAGAAACCGCTGGGAGGATTCACTACTGATCATCCAAGCCTTCCCAATATATTCTCATCGCAGTAAAGACAGTTGAAGTTTGTTTTATATTTAAAAATTAACATACATTCATGCTTAAATGCTTCCATTTCTTATATACCATGTACCCGCCGTACTCACCAGACTTAGCGCCGTCGGACTACCACCTTTTCACATCTTTAGGACACGCCCTAAAAAAACAGAAATTTTCGAACTCAGACATACTCCGAAAATGGCTTGTTGACTGGTTCGACTCAAAAGGAATAGAATTTTTCAGACAAGGAATTCGAAAATTGCCTGAAAGGTGGTCCGAGTGTATAGCTAATCAGGGCAATTACTTTGAATAAAAAAATATTTTGTTGTATGGAATTGGTGACCTTTTGAATTCACTGAAAATTTTCGCGTTTCATACTAATAGACCTGGTAGAGATAACATGTTATCGCCTTTTTACTTTAAAATGCATTGAAACAATGAATTTGGTTTATCAATCCATTGTAATAGAAGTATATAGAATAGAATCCTATTTATTCATATGATCGGACATTTATTCTTCTTTGTGTCTGTGGTGATCTCCACCCTGATCCTAATCTTTCAAACTCTTTCACTTTACTAGAGAAAATATACTCATCGAAAAAACTTAAGGAAGTTGTACCTTTTACCATGTATATCGGGATTCAGACAATAACTATGAAAGATATTTGATACGCAGTGACCTTTATATAGATAAATAATTCTTCCTGGATTGAAATTAGACGAAAAACATGGTGAAAGAAGACGAGTTTCTTTTATTGACGAATAGGTGCAAGCTTTCGGGACTCTTATAAGTCGCGCTTGCCTGTCGAAGGTTTTTTACCCGAAATCTTGCACCTATTCTTCAATAAAAGAAACTCGTCTTCCTTCACCATGTTTTTCGTCTAACAGTGACCTTTATTTAAGACACACGAGATAACCAAGTGCGAACAAAATTACGACGGTTTCCTTAAAAATAAACAGATGTCCGGCGATATTAAAGAACTTTCCACAATCTAAAGTTTTGTTCATAAGTGTATATACAACTTAAACATATATGATGAAATATCCAAGAGACATTGCTGACAGTGTTGGAGGGAAAGCTCCAGGGGAAGAGATCGAGGGGAATGAGACGACAGGGATACACAGACGATCTAAAACAATGGACTGGACGACACACCTATGAGGTGATGAAGAGGATAGCGGAGAAAGTATGGAGAGACCATGTGGCCCACCCTCAGTAAAGGAAGGCATCGAAGGAGGGAGATATGGAGAGACCATGTGGCCACCCTCAGTAGAGGAAGGCATTGAAGGAGGAAGTATGGAGAGACCATGTAGCCCACCCTCAGTAGAGGGAGGAAGACACTGAAGGAGGGAGATATGGAGAGACTACGTGGCCCACCCTCAGTAGAGGAAGGCATTGAAGGAGGAAGTATGGAGAGACCATGTGGCCCACCCTCAGTAGAGGAAGGTACTGAAGGAAGGAAAGAAGTAAGAAATACCCAAATTCATACTAATGGAACAGAAAACACAAATTTTAACATCAAACATAGGCTGTGACATCTTAAATAGGATAATCGACAATATCTTACAAAGAATACAAATGACATCTACAAATAGAAGTGATGACAATCTTGAATTAAGTTACTTTGAAATTCTAATACAGCTGCGTGTCAATAACTCCAGACATAATATGTTTATTTTCTTGTTTCACAATTTCTTCTTTAATCCATTACAGATCACGTTACCCTTGACTCTAATATAAATATATTACATCGCCACACGTGAGTTTTACATTAATCACCTAAGTGAGTTCAGTTTGAGTTAAACGACGATCAATTAAAACCTAAGAATATTAAGATAGAACACCTGGAGATAAATGTGTTTTTTATTGTCCCTACTACACACGTGGTACAGGCCATGATAATCATGCTTGGTAGTTAGCGACACCCTTAATTATAAGTGCACTCCATGTCTACAAATGTGAAAAGCAGTTCGACTTTTGCACTTACAAATATGCCAGAGCACCGTTTGATTACTTGCACTCGCTGATGGAGTTAGACCTTTGCAAGAACCGAGCGCTATTGGAGGACTTTTTTTTTTACTTATAAAAAAGTTACCAATGCAGGATTAGACCATTTTTCCACCGACCCCCGGAGATAAATGTGAAAATATCTATGTGTGAAATAGACATTTGCGTCTTAATATTTTCATTTGCTATATATAGATGGCGTGTTATTTTATTTTATATAAATGTGAAAAGAGATAAAGATATTTCGAGAGGTTGCTTCATCTTTCTCAGTTTTTTTTTTAATTCGAAAAATTTCAAGTCCTGATATAGGTAGGCTGTTTGATTATCCATAAGTAGATTCAGCTTAGATATTAGATATGTGTGAATATATACTCTTCGTAGATCAAATATAAATTAACACAAATCAATAACGCGCCATCTATACATATAAAATGAAAGGATTTAAAAGCACGAATGTTTCTTTTATACATAATACAAACTTTTACTGCCCTTACTGCGATGAAAAAATATATTGGGAGGGATTGGCTCATCAGTGGTGAACCCTCCCAGCGGTTTCGCCAATTTAATCCACCAGACCGCTTCCCAGAGCTCTAATACTGAATTGGACGATTTTACTTATATACGCAGCACTGAAGGGTGGAATCTCAGAAATTGTTTTCAAGAAAACTATGGACATAAGCTTATAAATTTCCCCCTATTCCCCCGCATGATCATCTATCTTTAAGTTTTATTCCCATTTTTAATGTAAATTATTGACAAGAAGTCAATAAAATTTGTTTCAATTGTCGAATTGTCACACACACACGCACAAAGATTTGAGAATATTCTTCATATTAAGAGAGCCATATGTAAATGAATATGTAAATGATGATCACCTGTAAATAATGAACTCATCTTTTCTAGGCAATTATACACCTGGGAGAATCCTGTGTAGGTGTATGCCCCCCCCCCCCCCCCCCCCCCCCAAAAAAAAAATATTTTCTTCATATTAGGGGAAGACGAAATGAAGAAGTTATATTTGTCATACTACTATGTTAAAGTATTATTATTATCACATACAAACTCGAAATTTCATAAATTACACCCATACCTCACCTTGCGTCGGGGTTACGTTCCAAAAAAACACGATGCAAATTGAAACGACGCAAAGTGAAAATAAAATTTTGATGGCATGGCGCAATCAAAAACAAAGGCCATATTTTAGAAAAAAAATTAAAGACTCGAATCCAAAACAACGCAACTTCGAAAATCTAACGACGCATAGTGAAAATCAGTAAAAATTAAGCAGCGACGTAACTTGAAAAAAAAAAAAAAAAAAAAACGCAAAACGAAACGACGCAAAGCGAGGTATTGGTGTGGTATAAAAAGAAACCCATTGCAGTGATGCTTCACTTTTCAAATACGTATTTCACAATTACTTTGATTAAAATATAAGTTTACACATTTAAAATTATTTGAGCAGAACGAGGGTTTATTTGAGTTAATAGTTATTGAATAAACTCTAAAAATAATAATAATAACAAAACATCATTATAGATTAACACCTTTTTATTTTAAATAATCAATATCAATCTTCATTTTATATCTGTGAAAGTGAATAGTAGATTTGATTTTAAGTATTGTTTGAAATCGAAAATCAAATACATATAAAAATATACTTTATATATATTCGATATATAATTAAGTTTTGAAAATAGAACAATCCAAAGATAAATCTTTAATTAAAAAGGCATATATTGGATCAAAATATCATTTATTTTACCAATATTTCAGTTGGCTGAACGCCAACCTTTATGAAGGTGTTATAAGATTTTAAAGTGTGTCAACAACAATGTCAACAACAAGATGTGGCGCTGAGTTTGTTGTTGACACACTTTAAAATGTTATAATACCTTGATAAAGGTTGGCGTTCAGCCAACTGATATATTGGTAAAATAAATGATTTTTTGATCCAATATATGCCTTTTTAATTAAATATTCAAGTTTAAGAATAGAATTCTGATATTTAAATTGGGTGTGTTGTGAAAGTGCTGGGTATGACTTAACACGAAACATTCTTCTAAAGTGACAAAATAATTCGTGTTTACATTCTTCGCCGACTTCTTCATGGTATTTGCCGACGTCCTTTTGCTTTCTCTCTGTTTGCGAAAGGGAATGCAGGAATGCAATAATCACTTTCTCTCTAATTTTAGAAAGTTCAACAATGGGCACATTGTTTACTGTCCCAAGTTGGAAGAAGGCCTGTGGAGGCAGTTTCGCCCACCTTGCTCAAGGTCGTGGAGATGTGGGAGGTGGGACTTTCGTCAACATCCTTGCCTTGACACATAGACTCATCATCTCGAGACAAACATTGGCCCACTTGGACGGTCTCTCACGCTCTCTTCCTTGTTTCGGCTTCTTTGGCCCTTCTATCTAAACTCTTCCTTGTTTCAGCTTCTTTTGCCATTCTATTTGTACTTGCTGCGGTTCCTTTCGACTCTTTATCTGAACTCTTCTATGTTGAATTTTGATGCGGTTCCTTTCGCCTTTCTATCTAAACTCCTTTTTTTTTATTGTTGCGACTTCATTCGCTCCTTTATCTGAACTCTTCCATGTTGAATTGTTGCTGCCTTTTTGACACTTTTATATGGAAACTTACGTGTTGAATTGTTTCGATTTCTTCCGCCTATCTTCATGATCTATTCCTTGTTGGATTTTTGCGGCTTCTTTCGCCTTTCTATCTGTATTCTTCTTTGTTGAATTTTT